TGAAAACTGCCGTAGAAGCATGAAAAAATCAATTATTTCCACTATCGATGGGTGTTGGGAAATGCAAAGTCGGTCTTGGCCTTCACGCTAACTTGGAGCATGTCCATGTAAATTTTGGTGCAAATCCGTCAAAAATAGCGACCGTGCATTCGTTACACACACACACACACACACACACACACACACACACACACACACACATCCTGCCTTTTATAGAGATAATGCCTGGCAGCTTGTGTCCGAGTTTATTTTGTTTTTGGGTGACTAACTTTTTATATATTTAGACGCCGTTCAGGCACATTTGTTTTTTTTAAAGAGTCAACGTTATACCTAACTATGCTGAGCGTAGTTAGAATTTCTGGGAGAGAGCACATAATCTAGCATGAACAACAGTCTGAACAAGGGCAATACGCTCAAAACCTCAGCCACGATGACTTGTGTCTTCGTGCTAGCAGAACCATCAACGGATCCCAAATAGTTACGTCTACCCAATTTCCCTCAAAAGTCATGCGTATGATTTGCAAGCACTTTCCAAAGGTTACCTGGGATTGTCTTTCCAGGCCAATGACACGAAAAGTCAATACAGTTTCACTCACAAGGGCCAACCTGTAGTTTTCAGGCACGTGATTACCGCACGTGACGATTGCCTCCCTAGTCCGATAGCACCAAGAACTTCAATCACAAGCGGCAACCTGTGGTGTGGTTTACGGACATTTACCAAAGATTACCGCACGCTGCGACCGGGTATTAAAGGCGTTGGTTAAATCCAGTCACAAGACCCAAAAAGTGTGAGTTCAATACCCGGTTAAGGCAGTGGAGAACTTGAAGAGGGGAATTAACAGGGGATAACTGATAACTGACATCAATTAGACATGGCACGTGGAACTAGAAAAGTCTGTCCTTAAGGACACATAGCACAGTGGATAAAGGCGTTGGTTAAATCTAGTCACAAGACTCAAAGAGTGTGAGTTCAATACCCGGTTAAGGCAGTGGAGAACTTGGAGAGGGGAATTAACAGGAGATAACTGATAACTGACACCCATTAGACATGGCACGTGGAACTAGAACAGTCTACCCCAGTGAGCGAAATAATGGGTTCAGTTCGACATTCTAAGCACCTGATGAAGGCCGGGACGTACAACGGCCGTGATAAATATGGCGACAAAGATGAGGTCAATAATCCGAATAATTTAAAGTGTACATAATACCTCATCTCAGAAATATAGACAGATACTGAAGGGCCGGAACGTTGTAATAAATATGGTAACAAAGATTAGGACAATAGTCCGAATAATGTAAATAGTGTACATAATACCTCATCTCAAAAATATAGACACATGCTGAAGGACCGAAACGTTGTAATACATATGGCGACAAAGATGAGCACAATTGTCCTAATAATGTAAAGTGGGCATAATACCTCATCTCAGAAATATAGACAGATGCTGAATGATCGTATGTGTGTTTTGCTGTGGTACCTAGACTTTACGAATTTAAGCAAAGTACTAGATTGGCAAAAGGGCCCCATCCACTTACAGTTGAATTGGTCAGATGTAAGTTCTATGTTAACAGTTTCTTTTCTTGCATTTTACGCAGCTGTGATCCCCACTCCCCTCCACCTCACAACTGTTGTTCATGGTGACATTCAAGGCAGAATAGTGCAATTGTTGTATAGCCCCCTCGTGCTGGAGAACTCTTAAACGACGGCGACAATTCGATAAGAAAGTTGCAATCTTAACTTGCGGCTGGTGATCGTTAGTTGTTTTGAGTCCAAAAGATAAAAGAACTTCAACACAGTGAATTATAACTTATCTAGTTTTATTAACGTTTATGTCGACATGTTCTATTTATCCAGTGGGTGTTGTTTCCCCTCTACTGGGGAGCCGTTCCAGACACGAAAGTGAACACGTCTACATTTCTTAACGTGTAAGAACCAACTCACTGAAAAAACGTTCTCTATAGCTATCATTCCCACGGTGGCTACGCCAATAAAAATCGACTTCCTTATTTTGTCTTCCATCTGACCTCTAAGGTCAACTTCAGGAAGTCCGAGCAGAGATACACTTCCTCAAAAATAATAGTCTGCTAAGATAATAGTCTGCTATTTACCCATGGCGGGGTGGAAGAGATGAATTCAAACCTAACTTAACGGTATTAGCCCGTAAATGTATACAATGAACTCGTTTGGAGTTCGTACTTGGCTCTCCGATTCCTCAGTCCGAGTCTCGAACCATTACCGCTACTTTCTTCTAGCCTTTGTCTAAAGAAATAAGACCTACAAGGCAGCAAGTGGTTTGATTTCAGACTTTTCTTCTCCTAGACTGGTTGCTACTCAAGGCTACAGGATTCAGTCTGTCCTGCTATTTTACCCATAGCTGGGAGATTATTATTATTATTATCTTCAGAAAATCGAAAAATATTTTCTACTTTTAACATGCAAAGGGTTGATAAGCCGTAAAAAGAAGTAAATGTTATGAAATATGGCGTAACACTTCATCAGGAGCGAAATAGGTACATCAGTGTGACGACTGCTAATTTTTCGTGAATGTCTGTTTGCTTTTTGAGCTCTTTCATGTCTAGAAGATGAAGATTAAGTAGCTACAGGCCAGATATGACGACAATACTCCAGCTTTTATCTAATCTTACAGAGTAAAGATAAAGGATACCTTTCTGGTTTGTTTTGTTTTGTTTTTAAAGTATATCAAGAAAATGGGTTATTTAATATATGAAAACATTTTTCTAGGATAGATTCGTATGAATAGAGTATGTATTCTTTGGTTTAGATTGGTTTGGATTATTTTGTTTTAAGGCATATCAACCTCAATGGGTTATTTAATGAAAATAAATTTTTTTAGGATAGTTTCGTTTCGAATAGAATATTTTTCTTTGGTTTTTAATGGTTTCGTTTATTTTTTTTTTTACATAATTTTATACTTTCCTGAATGATATATTTAATAGACAACATTTTAGGATAGATTCGATATGAATAGAATATGTATTCTTTGGTTTTATTGGTTTGGTTTCTTTTGTTTTACGGTGTATCAACCTCAATGGGTTATTTAATGCTGACAAGATTTTTATTGGTATCATTATTGCTTTTAAAAATATATTACATGTAATTTTTTTTTCTTTCAAAAATATATTGCTGGTAAAATTTCTTTTTTCAAGGTTTGGTTTGGTTTGTTTTACGGTATGTCAACCTCGACAGGTTATTTAATACCGACAAGATTTTTATTGCTGGTAATATTTTTTCCCAAAAATTTATTTCTGGTAATATTTTTCCCCAAAATAAATAGCTGGTAATATTTTTTTCAAAATATGCATTGCTGTTAATAACGTATTTCTGGTAATAATCTTTTTCCTTCAAAAATTTATTGGTGGTAATATATATATATATATATTTTTAATATTTTGTTGGTAATTTTTTTTTCTTCAAAAATTTATTGCTGGTAATAATCCTTTACAAAGTATTTCTGATATTAAGACCTATTTTTATTTTTTATTTGTTTTTGGACCCCATTTAATAGTTAACTTTTGCCCATAGCTGTAAATTAAACATCTATTCTACAACGTTTAGGGTGTGGTTCCATAGTCCATTTACAAACTATAATCAGAGGATCACGTTGCTGTTGAACGTTACTATCGTCTTACCCAGGACGCATTATGTAGTTTATCGTTATACTTATATGAGTTCGATAAAAAAAAAGGCAACCTGTGAAAGATTAACAGAAAGATATTGTTGTTAATTAGTTTTTTTGCCCAATGAATTTATTTGGGTGTAATTAATACGCTTGTTAATTATGTCTGCTTTCGCAAAATGTATATAAGAAACCCGACTGAATTGAAATTGATCGTTGAATTTCTCATTATGAGCCGATATCCATTTTAATCAATTACATCCCATCCAAGCTCACATCAGTAAAGTTTTCAATTCCTTCTTTTTACCAACGTTTCGTCTTTGTGGCATTATCGAAATCACATTCCTAATCCAAATAAATCGATTAGTAAACAACCATCTGTATCCTTCGAATTATGCATATATATATTTTATATAAATATATATATATATATATATATTTTTATGTGATTTAAATTTGAAAACAAGTTTTCCTGAATGGACGCGAACATATGGAAGATATATATGCATTAAAATACACGTTTTCAAATATCATTGAGGGTCATGAGATTTATTTAAAATAATTCATCCCCGCCTTTTACCTGATCGTTTTAAGAGAAAAAAAAAAACGCTGAATTTGTAAGAGCGCTAAACCATACCTGGTCGCGGGTTGTTTTATACATTTGAAAATTTATGAAGGTATTCAACCAATGATTATTGGATTTTACGGCTTTTAAATATCGTCGCTTAAGAAGGTGATTAATTAATTAAGCACATAGAAGAAGAAGAAGAAGAAGAAGAAGAATGAATGAATGATATTTTTTTCTCACAATGGCTGTCCTTTCAATGGATTTATTTTCAATCATTTCACCCCAAACAAGTCAATAAAGCCACTAGGATGCAAGGGGTTAGTGAGTGTTAGAGAATATGAGAAAAACTACTATTAATGAGAGAGGACCATAAAAGAACTGGAATAAAATAGATAATGATTGATATTGCATTTAAATTTTTGAAGATCAAAGGCAATAAAGCCACTAGGATGCAAGGGGGTTAATGAGTGTTAAAGAATATGAGAAACTACTATTAATGAGAGATGACTATAAAAGAATTGGAATTAAGAAGACAGAAGATAACGATTGACATTGCATTTAAATTTTTGAAGATCAAAGTTGAATAGGAAGCAAGAAGCCGAAAGAGAGCTTACTAAGAGACATTCCTAAGGTAAAGAGCGAAAATAAATAAAAAAGTAGTTTCAAAGATAGAGGGAAAAAAGAAAGAGTAAAGAGATGAATGAGTGAGGAGATAAGATAGATATGAGATAGAGAGTGAAAAAAATGAAGGGACAGACATAAAGATAGAGAAACAGAAAGAGATAGGAAAAGTGTTAAACATGAGAGAGAGAGAGAGAGTAAAAAGAGAGACATTGGATAGAGTGTGAAAAATAAGAAAAGAGACAAGCATAAAGATAGAGAGAGGAAAAGAGAGAGTAAAAAGAGAGATTGGATAGAGAGGGGAAAATAAGAAAAGAGACAAGCATAAAGATAGAGAGAGGAAAGAGAGTAAAAAGAGAGACATTGGATAGAGAGGGGAAAATAAGAAAAGAGACAAGCATAAAGATAGAGAGAGGAAAAGAGAGAGTAAAAAGAGAGACATTGGATAGAGAGGAAAATAAGAAAAGAGACAAGCATAAAGATAGAGAGAGAAAAAAGAGAGAGTAAAAAGAGAGACATTGGATAGAGAGGGAAAAAAAAAGAGACAAGCATAAAGAGAGAGAGGAAAGAGAGAGTAAAAAGAGAGACATTGGATAGAGAGGGAAAATAAGAAAAGAGACAAGAATAAAGATAGAGAGAGAAAAGAGAGAGTAAAAGAGAGACATTGGATAGAGAGGGAAAATAAGAAAAGAGACAAGCATAAAGATAGAGAGAGGAAAAGAGAGAGTAAAAAGAGAGACATTGATAGAGAGGGAAAATAAAAAAGAGACAAGCATAAAGATAGAGAGAGGAAAAGAGAGAGTAAAAAGAGAGACATTGGATAGAGAGGGGAAAATAAGAAAAGAGACAAGCATAAAGATAGAGAGAGGAAAAGAGAGAGTAAAAAGAGAGACATTGGATAGAGAGGGGAAAATAAGAAAAGAGACAAGCATAAAGATAGAGAGAGGAAAAGAGAGAGTAAAAAGAGAGACATTGGATAGAGAGGGAAAATAAGAAAAGAGACAAGCATAAAGATAGAGAGAGGAAAAGAGAGAGTAAAAGAGAGACATTGGATAGAGAGGGGAAAATAAGAAAAGAGACAAGCATAAAGATAGAGAGAGAAAAAAGAGAGTAAAAAAGAGAGACATTGGATAGAGAGGGAAAATAAGAAAAGAGACAAGCATAAAGATAGAGAGAGGAAAAGAGAGAGTAAAAAGAGAGACATTGGATAGAGAGGGGAAAATAAGAAAAGAGACAAGCATAAAGATAGAGAGAGGAAAAGAGAGATTAAAAAGAGAGACATTGGATAGAGAGGGGAAAATAAGAGACAGGCATACACATAGAAAGAAATAGAAAAAGAAAGAGAGGGGAAAAGTGTCAGGCATGAATAAAGAGAAGAGGAAAAGAGGAGAGAAAGATACGTAAATTAATTTTATTTCTTTAATATCAGTTATCGTATTATTTAGGTTTGATTTCGTCATAAATCTTTCACTAATCTCAAAATCCTCGATTTCCCTTTGAATCTAACACGACGAACTGATATGGAATTAAGATTGTATCTTGCTAATAATTTCATATATTTATCTTTTTAATCATTTCACGATAATCAAGGTAATGAAACCCCTAAGACGCCAGTCTATTAGTGAATATGAGAAAAAAACCATTATTAAAGAGAGAAGATAATAAAAGAACAGGTATTAAGAAGATTGGTACTGCATTTAAATTTATGAATTCAAAATTGACTAGAAATTAAGAAGTCGTCAGAGAATTCCACAGACGAGAAGTGCGAGAGAAGAAACTGTTAACATAGAACTTACGGTTACATCTAGCCATTTTAATTGTAAATTGATGCGACCTTTCCGCCAATATAATACTTAAATTCGTAAAACCGAGGTAAGAAAGAAGAAATCTTTCTATTTACCAACTTCCATACAAGGCAAGATGTGGCACAAGGCCAGTTTTTAAAGTTGGGCGTTCCGAGCCCGTAGGCTAGGGAAAAAATTGCCCGTAGACTTCGCATACATGAGGTCGGGTTTTTCTACCTCTTCAAACGAGACTCTGTCTTTCGGCAGAGCCCCGTTGGGGTTCCTCTCCGTCCGGAGGCAGAAAGTTCGAAAAAAGAGGAAGATGAAGAGAAAGCCTCCTCCTCGTCCTATTTCATCATAAAAATTAACATGAAAATATTTATAGAAAAGGCACAGAGAAGCTACGTTACGGTGGGGGGGGGTGACTGAAGACGAGATGCCAGGTCAGAACCAATAGCACTGCAGATTCATTTTCGTATTTCATCAAAAGTCTCTAAATGCATAGCAGACGCATGTATGACAGCGATTGGTAGATTTATAGACATGTCAGACATATTCTGGCGGAAATTTTTCTAGCACAATACAGTGAGCCAATTTCCTAGCAGCAGATCTAGCAATTGATCCAATATATTTCATGTTAGGAGAAAACGTTATTTTGAGAAGGCACAATGAGTCAATCTTTTGGAGGTTAGCATCAGCCATGCTAATGGAGGTCAAAAATGTGTTCTCTAAGACAATTAGAAAAATATTTTTGTTTGAATTTCTGGGATAAGGAGTTATTATTTACAATGTTAATATTTGGACTATAGTCCTCGTCTTAGATGCTCTTGAATTTTTGAAGATCAAGGTTGATTAGAAAGCAAGCAGCCAGAAGAGAGTTCTACAAGAGAGACATGAGAGAGAAGAAACTGTTAGCATAGAACTTAGGATAGGTTACATCTAGTTGTTTCAACTGTAAAGTGATGAGACCTAGCTGCCAATCTAGTACTGCGATAAATTCATGAAGTTGATATACCAAAGTGGAAAGCACATCAAAACAATTACTACAAACATACTATAGAAAAGACACACGGACCCTACATTATGGCGATGGGAAAGACATTGAAGCCAAGATTCCTAGTTCGGACCAATAACAGCAGCAATATGCAAAGCAAGGATGAATGGTAGACTTATAAATATGTAAGATAGATTCTTCTTTGGATTTTATCAAGAATCTCTAAATATATAGCAGAAGCACCAGACCAGATGTGGCAGCAATATTCAAAGCAAGGATGAATGGTAGACTTATAAATATGTAAGATAGATTCTTCTTTGGATTTTATCAAGAATCTCTAAATATATAGCAGTAGAACCAGACCAGATATGGCAGCAATATTCAAAGCAAGGATGAATGGTAGACTTATAAATATGTAAGATAGATTCTTCTTTGGATTTTATCAAGAATCTCTAAATATATAGCAGAAGCACCAGACCAGATGTGGCAGCAATATTCAAAGCAAGGATGAATGGTAGACTTATAAATATGTAAGATAGATTCTTCTTTGGATTTTATCAAGAATCTCTAAATATATAGCAGAAGCACCAGACCAGATGTGGTAGCAATATTAAAAGCAAGGATGAATGGTAGACTTATAAATATGTAAGATACATTCTTCTTTGGATTTTATCAAGCATCTCTAAATATATAGCAGAAGCACCAGACCACATGTGGCAGCAATATTCAAAGCAAGGATGAATGGTAGACTTATAAATATGTAAGATAGATTCTTCTTTGGATTTTATCAAGAATCCCTAAATATATAGCAGAAGCACAAGACCAGATGTGGCAGCAATATTCAAAGCAAGGATGAATGGTAGACTTATAAATATGTAAGATAGATTCTTCTTTGGATTTTATCAAGAATCTCTAAATATATAGCAGTAGCACCAGACCAGATATGGCAGCAATATTCAAAGCAAGGATGAATGGTAGACTTATAAATATGTAAGATAGATTCTTCTTTGGATTTTGGATGACAGTAGATCGCGATTGACATTGCATTTAAATTTTTGAAGATTAAAGTTGGCTGGAAGGATAGTTTCACAAGTGAGAAGTGCGAGAAAAGAATCTGTCAACATAGAACTTACGGTTACATCTACCGAAATCAATTGTATATCGTTGAGATCTCGTTGCTAGTCAACTACTGCGCTTAAATTCATAAAGACTAGTTACCCTATCGAAACTCCATGAAAGTATTTATAGAAATGACACAGCAAGACAACTTTATGGCGGTTAGAAAGGGACTGAAGCCGAGACGCAAGATCAGGACTAAAAATATTGCTGATTCCTCTTTGGGTTTTATCTAACGATCTCTAGATATATAACAGGAGCACCTGACCATATGTACCAGCTAATATTCGAAGCCTGGACGAATGGTAGACTTATAAATATGTCATACAGATTCTGGCGAGAAAAAGCACGACACAGTGAATCAACTTTCCTAGCAATAGATCTAGCAATTGATTCAATATCAATTTTGTATTTAAATCAAGAATCACTAAATGCATAACAGGAGCACTAAACCAGATGTCACAACAATATGCAACTCATGGACAAATGTCTGGTTATAGGGTCTATTTTTACGTTAGAATTATCTAACGCTTGGAATGATTTTTTATTTAGCTGAAACCCAAATAAAAATTGTCCCCAACCTGACAAAAAATATAATTAAAATATCTTTGATTTCAATGCAGATTAATCTTACAATTCACTTCCATTCCGAAATTTTTAATTACGTTTAATTTGATTGTCATGACTCATTTCTTGACGATGCACATTAAAAGAATAGGTAAACGTCAAATTTTAATGATAAAATTTCTTTTTTCTTTTATGCATTGAAATTAAATGATCGATGACAGGTTTCATTGATCTTTTGATCATAGGAAATGTAATCACTTAAGGGTTTCAATGTAAGGAAACACACTTGATGTGTTAAGGCCACTTTTTATCAGGTTTTTGTGTCTGATGAAATTGAGTGGATATTTCTCATTGCAAAATGCTATGATCTCATCAAGCTGTTATTGTGCCACCGGCTGGTGAGCAAGTGGCTAGTTTGAATGACGCAATGTAATATGTTCCCTGGGCAATGGAGATGACAGTGTATTTGTCATTTTATTAATGTTAGGAAAAATGTGTTTGAAGTCTATTGAACTTTTTATTATAACACAAGATATGCAGATGACATAGTGCCGATAGTAGACACAGAAAGAAAACTACAAAAGCTCTTACAGAAGGTAGCGAAGGAAAGCAAGAAGAAAGGACTAAACACCAATAGCAAAAGGAGAGAATGCATGGTTGTAAGTCCTACCAGGATTCATTACTGTCAACCATAGAAATTCATTGATCCAGCTGTTGGAAGAAAAATCACTGACTTAAAGATACAAAAGACTGACCGCGAGGGCTCTAAGCGCGAGGTTCTCACCTCTAAACTAAATCAACCAAGTTCATATTTATTTCCTGAATTTTATGTAAAATAATTTTATAATCATATATAATACATATAATTTCGCTGTGTGTTAACCTTTTCTCCCGCGTTGACGTGTATATCCGTTTTACTGAAAGTCTCCATTTCAGACACAGACGAATAAACACGTCCAAAAATTAACGTTCAAAAAAACAGCTACAGACGTGTTTATACGTCGATCTTGATTCTTTTTATGTCCTTTTGAGTTTGAAATGAGTTCATTTGTAAACTCATATATCTGGCAAATAGGTATTAGCCACCGCTCGGGTACTTCAAGGTACCTCAGTTTCTTAGTTACTATATTAAAAACAAATAAAAAAAAACGTCGGAAAAGGAAACATTTTCCCCAAAATAATTGACTTGGAAAGGGTTAAGGATACTCAGTCGTAACAACATAGAATATGTAAATGAGAAAATCTTGATAGCAGACACGGAAAGAAAGCTACAGAAATGTCCATAGAAGGAAAGCAAGAAGAAAGGACTAAACATCAATTGCAAGAAGACAGAATGCATGTTTGTTAGCAAAAGGGAGAGTCCGAAATGTAAATTACAAATTGGGGATAACAAAATCAAACAAATACAATAGTTTAAATATCTGGGAAGTATTCTAAGAGAGGACAGAAATTGCAACAATGAAATCCGAAGACGCATTTGGATAACCAAAGAAGATTTCCAAAATCTGAACAAAGTATTTAGAAACAGAAAAATATCGCTAAAAACAAAGAAAAGTATAATGAACTGTCATGTGGTATCATTTCTTCTATATGGAGGAAGCTCTCGTCAAAAATGAAGAAGAGATTGGAGCAGCAGAAATGTGGTTCCACAGAAGGCTGCTGAGGCTACCATAGACTCAGCATGTGATAAACGACGATGTTTTGGAGAAAATGGGTAAAAAGGCCAATTCAAACTTCTGAAAAAATAAACAGTGGACGGAAAGAGCGTCATTAGGATAGAAGAACATGCCTTCACAAAACTAAGCAGAGTATTAGGAAACAGAGAAACTTCACCAGAAACAAGGGAAAATATTACTAAACAACTATGTGATATCCGTCCTCCTGTACGACACTGAATGCTGGGCGATCTCCTCAAAGGTGAAGAAGAAAACTTAAAGCAACAGAAATGTGCTTCTACAGGAGGATGCTGAGGATATGTCGACCAGACATATGAGTAACG